GGGTTTCCTAGGCTGTAGTCTTCATGGAAGCAGGTCACCAGATCTTTCTCCCGAGGAGTTGCTGGGTGGATTTGACTACCAACCTTTTGGTTAGTAGCCAAGTGCTTAACCGTTATACCACCAAGGCTCCTTCTAATAAATATTAGTTATAGTTAAATACGGATGAAAGGCCTGGTGATCTATTTCTGAAAATCAGCCAGTGAAAACCCTATGGAGCACAATGGTCCGGGGTTGCCATAAGTCGGGGGCTGACTTGGCGGCAGCTAACAATAACAACGTGGTTAAATACATCGAGCGTCTGCAGTGAACTGAGTTGTGAATTGTAGCTGAGCTGTTTTTTTTTTTTTTTCAATAACTGTGGAGCCCGCGTAGAGAGGAGACACATGAGTGCTGGTGGTGCCCAGTCTGACTCCCGGGCAGATGGGCATCTCTCCTGGGGCAGCAGCAGCCAGATTTCAGCTGGATGCCAGGGATTTTGAAAAGAAAACAGAATAATAAAAAATAGCTGTCTACCATGCTCGAGAGCTTGCCAAATGTTTCAGTTTAAGGACGGCTCAGCATTTAAGGGCCACAAAGAACCGTGGCAGTGAACTTTCTCAAGAAAAGCATGGAAACAGTGAGCTAACTTTGGTATTTCTTACATAACCCATCTCAAAGCCTTTTCTAGAATTTTTCCTCATCCTCCATTGTAACCAGTCCTAGTCTGGGTACACTCTTCTCCACAAGAAAACTAGCTTTAGGTTTTCCTACCAAAGCTTCCAAAACTGTTCTATTAAGGGTAACTATTTCCTTCCCTTTAACGTTTTTTAACAGTTGCTTTGGCACCTTAACCTTTCAATGAAAAAACAAAATATGAAATGGAGCAAGTGGTCAGCAAGATTTAAGTTCTCATTTTTAAGTGGCAACAAATGCTTGTTTTAGACGATGCCAACTTTCCCATCAAGTCGTGTGACCGTTAACCTGATTCCACACACCGTCCTTGAGGTCTTCACCACACTCCAGGAGTGTGAGGCACAAAGTCCCGCGAGGCAGGTGGTCACCAGCGTCATTTCCCATTTTGCGATGCCCCCTGAGGACAGGGACATGGGTCACAGGGTCAGTGACCCTGAGGTCGGATGCCATCCAGGCTCACAGATGAAGTGCACCTTCCTTGGTCTCAACTGCTTGACTTGAGTTTAGCTCAGCACACACCTGACACAGGTCCCACATGTGCTCAGCCACACACCTGGCGTATGGGGTGAGGGGGGATGAGGGGATCGAAACAGGTGAGAGCCTGTCAGAGAGGACTCTGAGCGCCGGGTGAGGGGCTTGGGCTGAAGCTGGCATGTCCTGCGCACCCATCAACTTCTGTGAGCAAAAAACTACAAGATCCCAGATGTTTCCAGGACGTGAATGCGGTGGTGGCACTGGAATGGGGGTGGGGGGTGGAATGGGGAGGTGGGGAGGTGAGACAGATGGCCCTCTGTGGTCCATCCAGGCTGGCAGTGATGGAGGTTTGTAAATAGCAAACCTGCCACCTGGCTGGAGCCAGGGGCAATCAAAGACGACAGTCACTTCAGCAGCAATTTGTGAGGCATCTCCCACACATGCAAACTACAGGTTGTTTTTTAAGTTGGGGTGCACTGAGCCCTCCCTCCGCAGCACTCATTCTCCACAGATAACTTTCGGACATGCACCTCACTGGAGCAGCAGGTAAGACAATGTGGCCACCCCCTCCCGCACCCTCGTCCCTGGGCTGGAGCGGGGACAGGTTGTGGAAAGAGGCAGCTTGGGGGCCCAGAAGGAAAGCCTCACCAGCTTCATGATTTCACTAAGGTGAGAATGAGCTGGTGTCTGCAGGAATCAAGCCCTAAGGCGAGTCGGCAAGCTTTACAGTTCCCAACACCACTACAGCACACACACCTGGGGAGAGCCAACTGGGCACCACAGCCCTGAAGCCAGGCTCCGGCCCCACTGCAGTGCCCTGGCTTGGCTGTGCTGCGCCGCAGCTGGAGCTCACCACCACTGGGGTGGCCGAGGGGTCAGACCTTTCAGCACACCTTCACGTTAGCGCTAAATCATAGGTGGTGCGAAAGGCGTTACGCTGGAGGCCAGCAGCCGCTCCGAGGCCGCCACAAGCACAAGGGGGGGAGTCCAGCAGGTCTAAGGAGGTCTCAGCAGAGTCGCACCCGGAAATCAGGACAGAACAACTGAGGACGTCCACCCCGACCCCCGCGATGCTGCAGGCATACATCAAGTGCACATCATCAAGATGCCAGAGCCTTTGGGTCCTCCTCATCCCTACCCCTCAGCCTCGAGGACGGACGGAAAAGTTCTGGCCTAAAGCAGCTATGCCCGAAGAGGCCTCTGCCCTAGCCCTGTGGAATCAAAGGCAAAATCTGACAATCCTGTTTCTGAACACAGCACGGCCTGTGTGTGACATAGACGGAGCGGGGCCCCAAGGTCCAACCCCATGGAAGGGATTCTCTTCAATAGAGCACGGTGACATTCCGCTGGAAAACAACAAGCAAGGTGTGACAGTGTCTAAGGCCCTGGATGACATGTTCACAGAAAAAGGTCAGACTCCATCACGGTTATTTTAGTTTGGCCCAAATCCCTTTATATACAAAACAACATGTCGCCTGAAAAAATAGAAACACTTTCTGCTCCTGGTAAGAAGCTGATGTTTTCCCAGGGGGTCCCCAGGCTGGGAATGCAAAGACCCAGGGCTCAGGTGTGACGGCCCCCCCAGGAGTTGGTGCACAGGAACGCCACCCTGGCCAGCCTCTCAACGTAGCTCAACATTATCCTAGCTCTTTGCAACAGTGGCAACCGGGAAGCCCACCCAGCCTGCCCCTGCCCCTCAATGCCTCAAGGAAAGCAATTCACAAGTGGAATGTTCTCTGCTACGAATTATGACTTCTGAAAATGACGACCTTTCATCTGTGTTTTAGGTAAAAGTAACCTTTTAGAGGGAGTCTCTGGGTAGAGCAAACGGTTAAGCACTCAGCTGCTAACCGAAAAGTTGGAGGTTTGAGTTCACCCAGAGGTGTCTTGGAAGAAAGGCCTGGCAATCTACTTCCAAAAAATCAACCATTGAAAACCCTATGAAGCAGGAGCACAGTTCTACTATGACACCTACGGGGTCGCCATGAGTCGGAATCAACTCAGCAGTAACTTTTTTCTCCCAAACCTTTTAGAAACAAAAAGTCTTTGTCAAAAGCAGTTCCTCATACAAGTTGCCCCCAGTCGTCTTCCAGGTTGCTAAATTAATCTGTAGAAAAAGTCCCCTCCTCTGACTAGAGTTTGCATTTTTCCCTTCAAAATTAAAATAATTCCTAATGACTGGGAATCAACTGTAACATGTCCTTGAACTTTCCCTTACAGATGAAATCCAGTTGTCTAAGTAATTGAGGTGCAGAGTCTGGAGAGGTTTTCTATTCTGATGGCTTCCTTATTGACGTGAGGAGCACACCTGCTGACTGAGCTAACCTGGAGGCAATCGGCTACACATCTAGGAAAGGGCATTTCTTTCCTTAGTGGCTCTCAAAGGGCACTCAGGGCCCAAAAAGGCAGTTATGTGGAATGTAAGTGTGTTTTCCCTGGTGGATTTGGAATCTGTGTTTAACAGTGTAGCCCTAGTTACAGTAAACTATCAGGCATAAATTGCAGAAAAAGAGGCATGGAATTATGGTACAAGATTCTTTCCTTCCAGAACAGAAGGGAACGCCACCGCCATGCTCAGTATGCACTCACATCAGCAGTTGAGACCCACGGAGGGGGAGCTAAAGCCAGACAAGGCCTGTTTGCTTTGGGCAAATTCTACAGGGCCGTGTAGTCTACGTCTGTGGCAAACATCTACCAACGATGAAGGAGAGATTCCACAAAGCTGAAGGGCATCGCCACAGGCAGTCCTTTTCCTTACCTTACAAACGTGCCAAATCCAAGTGGCCAAATCTAAGTTGCTCTCAGAAGGGAGGCACCCCACATCTCAATGTCAGGACACTTCTGTCCCCAACACTTGGGCTCAGTCACCATGTAGGTTCTAAGGAGCAGCTTTAGAAGAAGGTGCCCCAGCCTGGCTAGCGTCCTGGAAGGTCTGGATAAAGCATCTGTGGATCTCGACCCCACATTGACCCCACTCAGATGGTACCTTGTGAGGCCCGGACGAGGCTCCCTCTACATGGGCTCCTGGTGGAAACAGCACAGCCAGGAGGGTCGAGCTTACATTTCTTTCATCACCTCCCACAGCAAGGGACTTGTTGACATGACAGCATCTTTCAGTGATCCGGCTTCAATGGTCAGACTTCTCAGAATCAATGCCAGGTTCTCTCAATGCTAATGTCCCCCACCCCCACCTCACCTCAGACAAGGCAACACAGAGTCACCACAGGTCACGATCTTCAGATGCGCACCACTGTGAGATGAGCCCGCACGTGCCACAATGGCCCTGCCTTCCGAATCACAAATGTGCCCTAGAGACTGCAAGCCCCATTTCTAGAGGCTTCTACCTGCTAATGCTGCCCTGAGTGAGGCAGGCAGGGCTGACTGAGGAGGGGGCCCCAGGGGCTCTCTGTAGTGAATCCTGCCGTGACTTAAATCATGGATTATGGATTCCTCCGCGTAGACAAAATGTGCCTGCCTTGAGATCTAGTAGAAATGGTCATGGGTGCACAGAACCTTCATAGGGCCTCCTTTGTGGGACGTTTTAGGAGGATGCGTATATGCTGGTCTTTAATAGGACAAAGGCCCCAATCATATTTGAGGATTTTACCAGATGGAGAAATCAAATCAGCGAAGTTTCACAGACGCACCAGCAAGGACAAAGCACAACACCCTAGCTGCCTGTTTCTCGAGACAAACAGACAGACAGCAGGGTCCAGGTGATGCTACGTGTTGACAAACAGACACCAGAGCCCAGGGGATGCTGGGTGGAAAAATAAAGCCAGCTGGTACAAGGGACCCCGAGCAGCCAAAACGGCCACCCCTTCCCTCGTCTTTGGTCAGAAGAGTTCCGTTACCTTTTCTGATCTTGTCGTGGAAATTAATGGCATCCACAGAGGCCGTGACAATGTTGGTCTTGCAGTGGCGGGCAGCCACGATCCCAGCCACCTCATCCATGAGCTTCATGGTGACACCTGCACAGAAGAGGGGCACATGGCATGTTAGACATGGAAGAAGGTGTTATGGATTGAACTGTATCCCTCAATGAGATATGTTGAAGTCCTAACCCCTGTACTTATGTATGTGACCTTGTTTGGAAATAGGATCTTTGAAGATGTTATCAGTTAGGTTAACATTAGGTCATACTGGAGTAAACCAAAACCAAACCAACGAAACCTGTCCAGTTGATTCCAACCCATAGCGACCCTTTAGGACAGAGTAGAACTGCCCCATAGGGTTTCCAAGGAGCAGCTGGTGGATTCGGACTGCTGACCTTTTGGTTAGCAGCCAAGCTCTTAACTACTGAGTCACCAGGGCCCCACTGAAGTTGTTATCAGTTAGGTTAACATGAGGTCATAGTAGAGTCCTAGCCAAGCCTGTTGCCGTTGAGTCGACTGCGACTCATAGAGACCCTATAGGACAGAGTAGAACTGCCCCATAGGGCTTCCAAGGAGCACCTGGTGGATTCGAACTGCTGACCTTTTGGTTAGCAGCTGTAACTCTTAACCATTATGCCACCAGGGTTTCCCATACTAGTGGGTCCTAATCCTATATGAGTGGTTCCCTAACAAAAGACGTCAAGAGACACAGACACAGGGAGCCAGAGAGCGCACACCATGTAATACTGCAGCTGCAAGTCAAGCAAAGCAGGGAGCTACAGTAAGCCAGCAGAGGAGTAGGGAATAGTTTTCTCTCAGACCCTGTCATGGATTGAATTGTGTCCCCCTAAAAATTATGTGTCAACTTGGGTAGGCCATGATTCCCAGTGTTGTGTGTTTGTCCTCCATTTTGTGATCTGATTATCCTCCATTTTATGATGTGCTCTGATTCCTAGCCTCTAAGACTATGGTTCAGAGTCCTGTTGCACAGTGGTTAAGAGCTTGGCTGCTAACCAAAAAGGTCAGCAGTTCGAATCCCCAGCCACTCCTTGGAAACCCTATGGGGCAGTTCTACTCTGTCCTGTAGGGTCGCTACGAGTTGGAATTGACTCCATGGCATGGGGTTTGGTTTTTTTGGTTTATGCCTATGGTTTATGGTTCTGTTTCGGAATGAGCTGTGCTTTATGTTAATAAGGCAGGATTAGGTCATGTTAACCCCTTCATTACTAAATTTTTGTTAAAAAAATTTTTTTTCTGATGCTATGTGTTTTCACCATGGCTTGCTGATTCAAAGACTCATTCAGATTTTTTTATATGAGTTATGGATTTTAAGATATATGATCTGGTCATACAAGCCACCAGTAAGGCAAGAGGCACTGTGGAGCCACTGATCTGTGGTATGACAATATTCCAATAAGAACTAAATAGATAGTTTATTGTAAGCATCCTTCTGTTAGGTTACATGGGGAACCTCTGGTTTTCCAAATATGACACAGAAAAACCAAACCAAACCCATCAGGGCTCCCTAACTATCACATAGGAAAGCCATAATCATGCTTGCAGCCTTATCTCACAGAAATAAAGGGGAAAAAAAGCAAAAGTTTACAAAATTAACACATCCAGGAAGCATCACCTAATAGAATCCTCAACCTACATAACAATGAGGCTCCAACTCTGGTCTGCTGAGTTTCACACATTTCAAAAGGGACTCACCTTGACACTAAATGCATTAGAATGGGAATAACCTACTACCTATGAGGTCCAGAGGCATAAAAATTTGCTGGCATACAGTTACATCAATAGTGACAAAAGGGTTTAATTGAAGATTCGAGTGGGATGCAATACCCTTACTCAGGTCATAGCCCTGATCTGATGTAAGGGGAGTTTCCCTGGAGTGTGCCCTGTATCACCTCACTGCCAGGCTGGGTGTGAGCCCCCTACCTCACTGTCAGGGTGGGTGTGAGCCCCCTACCTCACTGCCTGGCTGGGCCTGTACCCCCCCACCTCACTGCCAGCCTGGGTGTGAGTTCCCCCCACAACTGCTGCCAGGCTGGGTCTGTGTCCCCACAACCGCTGGCAGGCTGGGTGTGAGCCCACCACCGCCACTGGTGGGCTGGGCTTGTGCCCCCCACTTCACTGCCTGGCTGGGCATGAACCCCCTTTTGCACCCCACCCCAAGCTAGGCCTGAGCTCCCCTCCGCCACCAGGCTGGGTGACCTTGGGCAGGTAAATGTCCCTCAGCGACAGGGTGACTGTGATGATTAACAAGATGAGCGCTGTGGCCGCTCAGGAATGGCAGCTGCCAGCAGCAGACACGAGGACTCAGTGAACGCTTGCTAGACTGAACACCAATTTAATCTGGGGTTCTGGGGAGAGAGCTGAGGTTTGGAGGAAGAACAGAAATGAGAAGTGAACTATCTCAGGAGAACACTAGGGAACATGTTGCGTGAGAACCACATGTATCTTGCTCAGAGGGGCAAATGAGAGCTCAGGAGGGCAGTCAGCCTCACCTTCATCAGGTGCCAAACACAGACCACACAGAGGTAGGTGCTGAGACACCGAGATGAGCTTCTGACTTGGCTGTGGCCTCCAAGTGTGCGTGTAGGTGTGTGTAAGGCGTTTAGTAGGGGAGTGACCGATAGCTGGTAGACCATGTTGATCTGCCTCATAAAATACTGGGTTGTTACATGGCTGCCTAGGTGGCCAACTTGCAAATGGAGTCAGTGCAATCGGGAAGTTTCAACTCAGAAGGTATTTTCCCATAGACTTAGTCTAAATACAATAGGTAAAGCTCCTCGTCAGTCAACAAATCTCATTTAATCTATGATGTCGTGTTGAAACAGGCTACGTTTGCTGTGAAAAATTTCAGTAATGATGATGATTTACATGGAGAAAATGTTGATTCAGAATCCAGAATACTGGTGTGTAAGTAAGAACAGCTGACCGCAAGAATGATGAACAGATAGGTGGGATTCTAGCAGAAATGGTGGCAGGGATGCTGAGGACATCCCCCCCGCCGCTTTTTTTTAATTGTGTTTAGATGAAGGTTTACAGAGCAAATTAGTTTCTCATTAAACAATTAATATACATTGTTTTGTGACATTGGTTGCCAACCCTGGGACATGTCAACACTCTCCCCTTCTCAACCTTGGGTTCCCCATTTCCATTCATCCAGCTTTCCCGTCCCCTCCCGCCTTCTCATCCTTGCCCCTGGTTGGTGTGCCCATTTAATCTTGTATACACGGATGAACTACATGTATTATTGTTTGTTTTATGGGCCTGTCTAATCTCTGGCTGAAGGGTGAACCTCAGGAGTGATTTCAGTACTGAGTTAAAAAGTGCCTGGGGGCCATTTTCTCGGGGTTTCTCCAGTCTCTGTCAGACCAGTAAGTCTGGTCTTTTTTTGTGATGCTGAGGGCATTTTTAACTGCTGCATTTTAGGAATTTATGACAGAATTTGCACTATGCGTAGCCTTCCTTTTATAGACAGAGACGTGTCACCAGCAATTCTGTTCAATCAGTGTCCTTCTGAGAACCAATGAGAGGGACAGGCAGGATTCTCTCCAAGTAGGATTTTCCAAGAGAAAATGAAGAAGGGGACACAGATGTGTGGCACTAGGAGACAAATTAAAGTGAACATGAGTGTGGAAAAGCAATGAAGTCATTGGAAGCCACGAACAACATACTAAGACTAATGGCTAGCATTTACTGAGGGTCCTGATGTCAGGCCATTTACATGGAGTCCCTCATGCTAAAAGGTCAGCTCCTCGAAGGCAGGGATTTTGTCTGTTTGCCTTCCACGCACCTAAAACATGACCTGATCCATTGTCAGCTCTCAGCAAATACTGAATGAATGAATAAATGAGATCCTCACTGGATGTCAACCCTTTGAGTAGGTCCATTATTATCCGCATTCTGTAAACCAGGGACCTGAGTCACAGAGAGTAACGTGTCCACACTCACACAGCAAGTGGTGGAACGGGGATTGAACCCTGACCACAGGGCACAGGGCTACCTGACTGCCTCTGCAACCAGGTCCCACCATACCGAGACTCCCTAGTGGAATTCTTAACCAAGATATGACTATGGAAGCAGAGAAACTAGAGTTCAAGGCCATGGTGGGGTGGGGAGATGGCAGTAAAAATAGTGGGGATGTGGGTGGGGGGTGGGGTGAAGGTCATGGACCCAGAGCTGCCAGTGCCACCAGGTTTTGTCATCAACTCTGGGTGGCTTAGTTGAGGTGAGGGAGGAGGGGAAGGAGGTTGGAAAGGAAGAAAGAGTTTGCATCAGAATGAATGTTTACACCTTAGAAAGTACCTACAATTAACCCATGCTTTGTAGGTTCTAAAAAGCAGAACTTGTTAAGAATGGAAGAAGTTGTAATCAGCTCCTTCACGCTGCAGTTTTGCCCCATTTATCCAAAATGCAGGCCAGCCAGTAAAGAAACTCCACAAGGAACTCCATGGTTACTCAAAACATTGCAGGATTCTAAGTTTGTGCCAGGATCCCTAAGTGCCTGGGGGCTAACTGAAAGGCTGGTGGTTCGAACCCACCTAGCAGCCCCACAGAAGAAAGACCTGGCAATCTACTTTTGTAAAGATTTCAGCCTAAGAAACCCTATGTGGCAGTTCTACTCTGTCACATGGTGTCGCTATGAGTCGGAATCAATTTGACGGCACCCAACAACAACAAGTTTGTGCCAGTGAAGACAGCTGTCAGTGCACACCAGACATTGGCAGCTGGGTGGTTTCCTCCAAATGATGCCCCCATCTGCCCCGCGTGTGGCTCCACTCACACCCTCTGGAGCGTACTATACCATGTGTGACATGGAAGTCTGCTCTGGGTTGGGACATGCCTTATTGTCCCCAGGTCCCTGACCCAACACTTAACCTGACATACAAATACTCAGGGATGAATGACTGTTGACTATCAGATCAAACCAACCCAGGGAAGCATCTCACCCAGGGAAGCATCTCCAGCAGCAAGTGGTAGGACTCTATGTTTGGGCAACAATTTGGGTCATCAGTTTGTCACAGGTGAGGCCAGAGAAGGCATGCTTATCAAATCCACAAAAACTCAAAGCCAGGTAAGCTAGA